TTTAACGATAAAAAATTGCGATAAAACATTTTCGTAAAAGCATATTAAAAAATATGTTGACGACGTCTCGACATTTGGCTAACGTCATTATCAAGTCAAAGAGTGAAAGATAAAAAATGTTTAAATACTAAAAAGACAATTGGTAATGGAATGTTCTTTTAAACAAAGAATTTTGCGCAAATGGAATCAGTCTGCGTGCTGAGACAAGGATTACGCTGCTTGATGAAAAGCATCTCATAAACAAGACAGTCTAATTTTCCTAGGTACTTTTTTAGAATGCGGAATTGGCTTTCTTTGAGGAGGCTTGTATCCCCATGAGCTGCCGAAAAGTGTTTACAGATCGCATTTATGATTGGAGACTTGATTTCTCTGGGCTTGAAGTGTAGTTCCAATCTTCTGCTGATAAACACGAGTTGTAGTGTAGTGCCAATCTTATGACTGAGATCACGCATTTGCTTCTTAATTGCTGATGTTTGATCTTTGAAGGGCAAACTCACTTGTACCACGCTGCTGTCTTCCTTTTTTTTCTCTCTCGTGCCAACGTACGCTGTTGCCTAAATTACAGCTCTCTTGCGAGGATCATTTGAAAACGATGGGGCCAATCCACTCCCCTTGTTTTGAGTGACCGATCCTTCAATCGATAATCTGGTCTGCCACGCTGTCAAAGCTTAGTCTCGGCTATTGTTTAGCTCTCCAGGTATCGGTAATTAACGCCTGGAGGGCCAAACATTTCTCACTACACCTTATTCCAGAATGGCCGCCAACCGGTAAAAGCTGGGGCGAGTGGCACGAAAACGAGGTCATAAGAACCAAACCTAAGAAATTTTACAGTTTCTACTAAGAAGTTTTCGACAAATGTATCATTTAGTAACGTACCTGTCACGATTCTGTGAACTCACAAGGGTTGTTTATTGTGCGAACTCGACTGCCGCCACGTGTGTATTCGTTGTCTCCTAAGTCTTCTAAATATAAAGATGTTCATCGGCCCAGTGGCGTGACCGTGTAACGCAATATCACGACATCTTCCCCTTTTTACAAAGTTTATCTTCAAAAGTTAATTAATACTTAATGTTCGGTTTCGATCACTGTTCAAATCACATAAAATCGATAAAACATTGTTCTTCATTGAAATCATAAAAAGATAGAAACAGAACCCAACAACTATTTAGCGGCTCAATCATTCAATGTTCAGTTCATATGGTAATCCTGATGCCACAAAGGCGGTCGACGTCTGCGTTCTGATCGACGAGTTTCAATCCTTTGTGGCTCAAGCTCAGTTCCCATCTCATTTTCAGGTGGCATTCTCTCTGTTTTGGTCTCGCCATGGAACTCCGGTGGAGGAGGTCCTGGCTCTGTCAGATTTGGCGCCGGTTTGAGGGTAGACTCGGGCGGAGTTAGTTCTACCAGACTCATAGGTGGTGCTGTTTCCGGGGTCAGGCGCAGTTGCCGACGGTTGCGTCGGTATCGCCTGCCGCAAACTTCAACTTCATAAGACCTGTTCCCCAAGGCTTTCATGCAGGTCCCCAGACTCCATTCCTCCCTTCCGGGAAGCCGCATCCTGATGGCCTGTCCACACTTTAGTGCCTCTAAAGGGCGAAACTTTTTGTTGTATTGTTGAGCTTGTCTTTTCTTGCGCTCAGCTAATTTGGTGGCTGTTTCCTGGTGTGATGGCTGCCGCAGGAGCGTTTCATGGGTTGGTAAGAAAGTGCGTGTGCGGCGTCCCATCAGTCTCTGTACGGGTGATGTTCCTAGACCCTCTGTTGGGGTGTTGCGCCAATCAAGAAGGGCTAACAGCGGGTCTTGCCCATCCGCTTTCGCTTTCGTCATCAAGTTCTTGCAGGTCTTCACGGCATTCTCGGCGCGGCCATTTGACTGGGGGTAACGGGGGCTCGAAGTTCTATGTTCAAACTGCCATTCTCTCACGAATGCACTGAACACCGATGACGTAAACTGAGGTCCGTTGTCGGTAATAAGCACGTCTGGTATCCCATGGCGGGCGAATTGTACTTTACACGCAGCTATCACGCTAGCAGATGTGGCCACCTTAACCTCCTGGACTTCAAAGAACCCACTCCAGTAGTCGACTAGGACAAAGAAATGTTGTTGCCCAAGGTCAAAAAAATCAGCACCTAGCATCGACCAGGGACGCGACGGGATCGGATACGGTTGCAATTCCTCGCGGCACTGATCTGGCTGGTACGACTGGCAGATTGAGCATTTGGAAACAAAGTCCTTTACTTCCGAATTCATGAGGGGCCAATAGAGGACCTCCCTAGCGCGACGTAAACACCCTTCGATTCCAATATGTGATCGGTGAATTTGCTTCAACATTTCTTTTCTCAGGGAAGGGGGTACCAGCAATCGCTCCCCCAGGAATACTAGTCCCTTGTCTTCTATAAGCTCACTTCGTTTGTCATAGTAAGGCGTCAGCTCAGGGGTACAGGACTTCCTTGACCCTGGCCATTCACCCTTGATTGCTCCGATTAGCTTTTGCATCACTGGGTCCCTGGCAATCTCGTTTCTGAATTCAGCGAGCCTGTATGGTGCAATCGAGAGGTTTTCTGAATGATCTATCTCGGCAAGTGTACAGATCAGACTTGTATCGTGCTTGGAGGCTTCGGTGGTGTTGCGGTATGCTCGACTCAGTGCATCTGATACCCACATAAGTTCCCCTTTTTTATACTGCACATCCAGGGAGTAATTCTGAAGGGCCATCAGCATTCTCTGGAGTCTCTTTGGTGAGTTGTGTATTGGCTTGGTAAAAACTGCCCTTAGTGGTTCGTGGTCAGACTCGATGTGTACAACTTCGCGTCCCAGTATGTATTGATTGAACTTGTCGGTTGACCACACTATGGCGAGGAGCTCTTTCTCGATTTGAGCGTAACGCGTTTCGGTGTCGGTCAGAGCTCGCGAGGCAAAGGCAACGGGCTGACCCTTTTGCATCAGTACTGCACCTAGACCCGTTATGCTGGCATCGCATTGGATTGTCACTTCTTCAGTAACATCATAGTATTTCAGTACCGGGGCCTTGGCCAAGTATTCTTTGACTGTGGTAAATGCTTTCTCATGCTGTGCAAGCCAACACCACTCGACGTCCTTGTCCTCAAGCCTTCGCAAAGGTTCTGTCATGTCGGACAGGAGTGGCAAGAATTTGGCCAGATAATTGACCATCCCCAAAAACCTCTTCAGGCCTTTCACATCAGTCGGCGGTGGCATATCCATGGATGCTTCAGCTGCTTCTGTCATCTTTAGGGGTGAACAGATCCCACTTCTGACACCATGTCACGATTCTGTGAACTCACAAGGGTTGTTTATTGTGCGAACTCGACTGCCGCCACGTGTGTATTCGTTGTCTCCTAAGTCTTCTAAATATAAAGATGTTCATCGGCCCAGTGGCGTGACCGTGTAACGCAATATCACGACAGTACCCTTCCGGTCAGGAAGAGAAAATATGGCAAATACTTTATATGGACCCCGTTTACTAACCGAAGAAGATATATCGGGAAGTTCGCTTGCTGGAAGAAAACCGTCAACACTGAAGAACTCCGAATTGGAGTTTTGGTTGCGCTGTCGCGGCGACTCGTGCAAAGGTCTGTCAACTAAAGCCCAGCTCGTAAAAAGGTAAGACTTACTGAATATTTAGGATCGTTTGCTGTGTGCGTTATGTAGAATTATGATTTGTATTCTTTTATTTCAGGGTAGAGGAATATGTAAGCAGAAGGTTGGATCAAAATATTGTCGATCCAGATCCCGAGATGATTTACACGAAACGGAAGCTTTACCGTATGGTTGCGAATTCTAACAAAACGGCGGACGACTCAAGTGCTATGGCAAGCTCATCAACACCATCACCTGGGACACAGAGGAAACCGAAAATTCCATCGGACGGCAGGGGATCATCCCTTGAAAAGGTGCTTCTTTTTACAAGGGCAGAGATGGACAGACATATTGGAAAGTCTGGGAAACATATTGGTGGGGATAAACATGCACATCATTCTGTTCCCATAGGCTTTAAAAAGGCTAAAACCTACCTAGAAGACGAATATTTACACGATATTCACACAAACTTTGACCAGCAGTACTTTTATTATCGTTGCAAATGTTTTCGTAGCTTTAAAAGGTACGAAAGCCCTCACAATTTAATTATTGCTTTATGCTTGATTTCTGGAGAGGTTGTTCATGCAAATTGTGGCCCCTCGTGTGCTGCCGGGAAATCCGGTTTTTGCAATCACGTTTTAGCTTTAATGCTGAAGATATGCTAGTACACTCTTTATAACTGTAGAAGTGTCACAGAACTACAACATGAGGCAGACGAAAACTGTTCAACAGTATGCACCTCAAACTTGCAGAGATGGCATCAACCCCGGGTAGAAGGTATTTCATCCTATCCTAATATATTATGGAAGTTTCTGTTTCTAAAATACAAGTAGAGGGTGAGCACAAAAGTTGTGGTATTACAAGTCTGCTTTATGAAGCAAGAAAAGTCAATAGGAAATCAAAACTAAATGATTCTGTAGAGGCTGTACAAAAAATAGATCCAACTCTGAGGTTGGTACAAACTTGTGAACTGAACACTAATGACCCTGTTGACACAAGGTTTGGGGAAAGTCCTGCAGGGTCATTTGGATCTTACCAATTTTCATTCCAGGAATCTAACTTTAAAGTTACATGTAACTTAGCTCCAATTCAACCAGATTCAAGAGCATCAAATTCCAAACCTTCTTATCCTTCACTGCCATAAGATTATTTGAATGATGACTTTGTGTTAGATCTGCCTTATGATCTGGATATACTACAGAATAAACTATTAGATGAACTTCAGGTTACTATGCTTGATGCAAAAAAGATATAAGAAAATACGAGGGGTCAGCATAATTGTAATACTTGGACTGAAGAACGCAGGTATAGATTTACAGCCTCAAATTTTGGAAAGGTGTCAAGAAGAAAAAGAAACCATAAGAAGTTTTGTAATGACTTTGTTGTGTACATGAGCAGGGGGCTTAGCATTGAAAGGATACACTTTGATGAAGAGCACTGGAAGAAACACAGAGCAATGGAGGAATGTTTAGCCCAACACCTGGAGGGAGCAGGTCCTGCACTGTAAATCCCTTGTCTGCCATTACTGAATCTCCATTCTCAAATTTTTGATCTAAAATGCCACTGTGTAGAACAATTTCCCTGTCTGAGATGTGTCCAGTGTAAACCTGGCTCACAAATAACAGTGCCCCACCTGGGGTTATTCCAACAAGGGCTTTCAGAGTGGTGTTATTTTTATAGGTACTAAAAAGTTCACTATTTAAACAAAGGCTGCAAGGCATTTGGCATTTAACCTCGGTGCAGTCTATTGTTATTCTAGTCAAGGGATATTTTCCTTTAAACTGCTCTGGCATGTGTTTGTTTACCTTTTCTCTAGAGGGCCACATGGGTACATCCTTAAGCCTTAAATATAAAAGGTTGACCCAGGTTATTATTATCCTGCTCATTGTAGCTTGAGATATTCCATAGAGATGAGCAAGATGTTCCTCTGCGAAACCTTGTCTTAATCTACACAAAGTAATAAAAAGTTCCTCCTTAGGATGCAGTAACCTTGGTCTTCCAGGCTTTGGAAATGTTTCTGTGTATTCATCATTTTCACTAAGAACAGTTCTATCCTGGCCTGTGGATGACGAGTGCCAATAACGAATATTTTCGCCATTCTCACCAGGGTCACATAAGTTGTATAACGAATCAAATATTTCGTAAACCCCCATAGACTTACAATTTCTAAACCGGCAACCTTGTCAACATTTAAGCTTGTACTATTTACCTCGAGCTCTTCGTTGGCAACTTGAGGCCCCGCTTTAGAGACTACATACCGGGGTTTTGGTGGTTTTCGCTTCTTAGGAGAATCTTTCTTCCACGAAAAAATGGAAGAAACAGCGGTAGGATGAAGTGTTCTTCTGCCAGCGAGTGTGCTCTGAAAATCTGAATCCTTGAAGTATCTCGAGCAAACCCTCGTGTGCGAAGATATCCTGAAGTGGCGACCAACATCTTTTCGAACAGCTCGAATCCATGCAGCTAATAGGTCTTTATTTTTTGGAAATTTGTGGAAAGATATCTTCCAGTCTTCCTCCCGATAGACCTTTTTCGTGCTATTCAGAACACAGCAGTTTTACGACATTTTGTTTATAGACCAAACACATTTGGCCGTTATGACCTCGTTTTCGTGCAACTCGCCCCAGCTTTTAAGGGTTGGCGGCCATTTTGGAATAAGGTGTTGACAGTTCGGGTGGCAGAAATTTTTTTGGGATCACTTTCTGAAGGAGCTTAGATACCAGGTTCAATTAGGTAACCAAGCCTTCTGATGATTTGTTTACAATTCTATACTCACCTCCCCCGACTGGTTGAAGTGCGATTGGATGGGGACAGGGAAGGGAACATTTCTGTTACTTGCGCGGGAAAAAACAAATGGGAAGTTATCTGTTAACCCTATTTTTTTGTCATTTTCGCGTGAAAGAATATTACCTTATCTCGCTGCGCTCCGTTCAAATACGAATCTTCTGCCTTTGGGTAAAATACGCTTTCTTCGAGAATTCTAAACTCTACTCACGGTCAAATGGAACCGAAGGGAATTTCAAACCTAGAAAATACTTGCTTCTGAATAGTGTCTTACCTCTGCTCTCGGTGACGTTTTTCCGAAGGACTCGCTAGATTGCAGAACAATCGCAAGAAGTGCACCTCGCCGAGTACAGGTCTTGAAAATGTATTCAATGTTAAAAGAAATCCTAGCAGGCAAAAAAAATTAACCTTTCGGTGAACTACGTAACTGAACCAAGTACTCTTTTTAACGGACCACAAAATTCGTCGTAAGTGTAGTAATCCGCTTATTTATTCTTGACATTAAGCTTATTTCGACCTAATAAAGCAATTGGTATCAATCATATGAAAATACGTATTTGACAACTTGATAATCTTGTTAAAACGTCATAGGAAGTTGTACCTTTAAAGAAGCTACGTGTAAAATCTGTAAGGCCTTTTAACTCTTTATAGCGGTAAATTTATATTAACTGTGGAAGCTTTGCACGTCTTAGTCATTTGCTGGATAATTTTTTGACGCTGTTGTGTTGAGCATCCATCTGAAGTAAGCGTGTATGAGTGCACAGGGTGCAAAGAGTGAGAACGGTACGCAAAACTAATAATTTCGACCTCTCCACCCCTCCTAGCTCCACCCTCTACAAAAATGAGTAGTTTCTGGACCATATTGACTTGAAATTTTACACTTGGTAATTCCTCAATTGACTTATGCCTCACACAAGAGAAAATTATTTTCATATCATATCTGTGCACCAGTGAGGCCTTGCATTAATAAAAAGGCTATTCTGGTATGTTCCAATAATGACTTTGGGTCAGATGCATTTGCAACAAAGGATGGAAAAAATGAATTATTATTATTATTAACATTATTATCATTATTATTATTATTATTGTGTTACATACTCTTAACCAAATTTGAAACTTTACCACTCCCCTCCCCCAAAGCAGCTACGTGTAAACAATATAGGGCCTTTTTTAAAGTCCTCACAGTTTAATGCCTCAAGGCTTGCTGGTTTGTCAGTCAGTGGAAAAGTAATGAAAGAAATACATTCAGTTGGACTTAAATGATTATAATTAAGATTTAAATATCAATTCCAACTGAGCAATGACTCACAATACAGAAAACAAGACATTGATTGCATTATATTAGGTGGCTTGATCCAAATGAGCCAAGAAAGCTTTCTTTGTTTTGTTTTGTACCTAATCATAAAAAAGCCCCATATTCTGTAATTGTAAGTCAAAGTGAAATTCAGTACTCTAACTATATTCAATAGACCTTACTGCAGTTTTCAACACCACCTTGATGGGTTGGTAGGCAGGCATGACCTTGCAGTATTTGTATGAGAATCTAGTGTCAAATAATCTTTGTGAATTATATCAGGTGGCTTGATGCAAATGAGCCAAGAAAGCATTTTTTTTTTGTTTGGTACCTAATCATAAAAAAGCCCCATATTCTGTAGTAGTAAGTCATGGAGTGAAATTCAGAACTTTAACTATATTCAATAGACCTTACTGCAGTTTTCAACACCACCTTGATGGGTTGGTGGGCAGGCTTGACCTTGCAGTATTTGTATAAGAATTCAATGTCAAATAATTTTTGTGAAAAATTCTGTTATGATAAAAATATCAGAAATATGGCAAACATAACCAACAGTTGCAAACGTTACAGGAAAAGGATTCTTCTGTAAAAGAATTTTCTTGCAGACTAAAATTTCCTGAAAAAAATAACAGACAATGCATGGAAAATCTATGACAAACAACAGGGCAAATTCAAGGACAGGTACAGCCATAGCCACTATGAAGTAAGCATCCCTACCACTCCCAAAATGCATTATCAGTTGCCTCAGATGTCCAGGCAGTCCAGGGAACAATTTAAACATTGACTCAGCTTTGTGTAATCAGATTAATTGTTGCTAAGTGCATTATTTCATGACAACGTACTTCAACAAGTAAGGTATACATATAGTATATACCACAAAAGCAAATTACTTCTGGTGTTATCGCTAATTGAGATATCAGATCAAGAAAGTATAAGTTATTAATAAAGAGTTAAATTTTAGCTGTAAGCTTTTCGAGTTATTGATTTGACAATTTACTGTACGTTGTAAAATTACAAAAGGAAACGCTAAATTTAGGTTGTAAAACACTAAAATACTTACTTACTTACCTTCCAGTCTCAAAAAGTTTTCTTCTTTGCTGCTTTAAAAATTTGAGCTTGTGTTTACTACTCGCCGAAGTTCCTTGTATTCTCTAATGTGACAAAAAAGGTCACGCAAGCAAGAAAAGGCTTGGGCACAAATCTAGTAGGCTTGGCTACTGAGTTGAGCCTGGTTTCTAAGCTCCTTCAGAAGGTGATCCCAAAAAAAAAAAAAAAAGCATTCGGGTGACTTAAGGAAATTTGTCCTGCTTTGAACACAGTCGCGTAACCTTCGTAGCCACATCAGAGGCCAATTGCTGTTGAATCATATAATCGCATTGATTACACAACGGGAATGGAAAGTTTGCCTGTTTTCCAAGTGAAAGTAAATGAGTGGACATCGGAGAAGTATTTTGATGTTTTAGGCATGAAAATTCCAGTATTTTTTACTCCCAACCCTAAGTTACTGTCCGACGTCATCTCCAATTTCCAAACGAGAGCTGAAGATGTGTTCGTGGTTACCTACCCCAAGTCAGGTTTGTGAAAATATAAAAAAGGTTTAACTTTCAAACTTTGCCAAATCGCATTGTTGTTATATATATATATATATATATATATATATATATATATATATATAACAACATCTTATATATATATATATATATATATATATATATATATATATATATATATAACAACTTTATTTAAATAATAACATGTAACATATTATTATTAAAAAAGGGTTATAGAAGGGGGGAACTTAATCCTCATTGTAAACTATACCCCAAACTTAAAAGTGGAAGAAAAACTTGCCGCCTAAATAAAAAAGCGATTTTCGACCAAAGGATGCGTTATTCACGCTTTATTTGCAGTCTTGTTTTATTTACAGTCTTCGTTGCTTGACTTGCGACTCCAATGACAACATTTTATCCACAAGCTAGGAAAAAAGCATAATAGTATATATTAGTCCAGTTTACAGTTGTGTGCTTGGTTGCCAAGCCTTTGAACAGGAGTGAGGCTAAGGTTGACATTGTTACTCGGGCTTTCCAAAGGAAAGGCCCGAGTTGAAATTCCGGCTTCGTTTTTTTTGCGTTCGGTCGCAAATCGCAGTCAAGTCCTCATCACGACTTTGACTTTGACGTATTCGCGACGTTTTGACCAATGAGCACGTGGCATGGTCTAGTGGCGGACGAAGATAGGCTTTCGCGGTGCAAAATGAGCACAGACACTGTGTATAATATGTTAAAAACGCATACAAAATATGCACACATCGTTCGCGGTACACCCACACTAAGAGATATCTAACGTTTTCGGAACAGGCCGGTCCGCGAACCTTATGAGAGATCTCTTTATGAGCGAAAATTTATGAGTGAACCTTTCATCGAGAAACATGCTATATCAAATAAGCTATCTAATGTTAATCAAGAGAAGCATAGACGCAAATCTCATCGTGTATGTAGACGTGATCGTGAACCAAGCGGAATACTAATTCCAAGTTTGGAAAGGTTAGGGAACAAGAGCAGAAGGGATAAACCAATAATTGCATAAAAGAAAACTTAGGTAAATGCAAGGGCAAAAAACAAAGTTTATTTACAAAGAAAGCCCGCGTGAACGCACCTTTGCGTCTAGTCACTGCTTTTCAAATGCAGATTACTTTGTTATCATGCTAACTGGATACTGGTCTCTGCCTGCATAAAAATCCAATAATTGAATGATGAATACCTGAGAGCCTTCATCAGACGATGAGTCATCACTATCTCCTCCACTGTGGTCACCGCTTGAGCAACTCGCAGTGCTAAAATAAGAATACTTATGGTTACGTACGAAACTATCGGTAAAGTGCTAAAAAGAAATGTTCATTCCAATGTAACGTAAATTCTGTGTTCTTTAATGTGCTAAATACAATCAAGCTTGAAAACAACTTGAGGGACTGATTCATTTCGGATTTCTTAATGCAGGATGTGCTAATTTATTTCAGATGCCATGATCTATGACTGCTTAGTTTAAATTGCTTAGTTTAAATGACAAAACATCACTTAT